TGTACAAACGGCCACCCAAGCAAGACAATCAGTTGTACAAACGGCCACCTGAGCAAGACAATCAGTTGTACAAACGGCCACCCAAGCAAGACAATCAGTTGTACAAACGGCCACCCAAGCAAGACAATCAGTTGTACAAACGGCCATCCAAGCAAGACAATCAGTTGTACAAACGGCCACTTCCCACACCTCCACACCGTCCCTTGCCATTTTCATGCATTAATAATATTTTTCAAAAACACTGTCCAATACGTCCAAGTATCTTCTCGAGAATGCGTTGTCTTCTTCGACTATTTCGACTGTATAGCGCAAAATACAATGAGCTGCAAACAAAACAAACACGAGCAGCAACGTTTCTCCTTCATCGCTGACAAAAACAAATGTAAACTATTGTGTTGCTGAAATGCAAGCTCCATTTACAAATCGGTACCATAATAGAATTAAAACGTTCTATCTGTTCAGTACTTAAATTTGATCAAATTAACGTTAAAAATTTTGAGTTTCACAACAAGACAAGCTTTCTCCAATGCATTTCCTTGAATATCCCGATATTGGATTGACTATCCGAATAATCTTACACTTTTAATAGAGCAGATAAAATAGTATGAATTGGTTTCTAACCTCAAGTTCTTAGTAACTCAAAACGGCCGAAAAATTCGACATAAAAACTATATGTACCTAATTCTAACGTTAGTCCAATCACCTATTATGAAGTAGTAAACCCAAAGTTTACATTTATTATCCCCCCTCTATTTTTCATTCTTAATCGGCGGTATCGGTCGCATTGCTAAAAAATATTGACAGAATTTCCAATTGCAACTGTTGAAAAAAAAAGCAGTTTTAAAAAAAATCCATAATTTAGGGTTACTGTAAAAAAAAAAAAGTTTTTTTTTCTTTCTCCTGACTAAAAAAATAGCTGCTTTTAATGGACATTTAAAAAGCTTGACGAAAAGCCAAAACATTATACATTTCTTACCGTCTGAATCACTAAAACACTGGATAGTTTAAAACACTGCCTTGACAAAACACCTGATGACAATATAACACTTCTACATAAAAAAACCCATGAAAACATAAAACACCTACAACGACAAAAAACACAACCTCGTGTAGCGAATATTCCCTGCACACAGAATCTGCTTACTTGGAAAGATAAATGTTCCCACATACCTCAACCGGCACTTCTTCTATGGCCCAATTGTGCAGTGAGTGACGTAAATAAAACGCTTAGTCAAAGGATAAAAAAAAGATATCGAAATAAATAACATCACGAACAAAGAAGTAAGCACTTACTTACTCACCTTTACTTATACATCCGTTCCCCTGAACAGACAAAGCATAAAACTCTCTATCTATACGTTCTTGTTATTACTCTCTGAGCGCCTATTATAGCTCTCTATCTATACGTTCTTGTTGTTACTATCTGAGCGCCTATAGCTCTCTATCTATACGTTCTTGTTATTACTCTCTGAGCACCTATTATAGCTCTCTATCTATACGTTCTTGTTATTACTATCTGAGCGCCTATAGCTCTCTATCTATACGTTCTTGTTATTACTATCTGAGCGCCTGTACCTCTCTCTATCCGATCCATTCCCTGGGAGAACAGTAGCGACGAACAAACCAAACACACACACACACACACAGAGAAATAGTTCATGACTAATGCCCCTTGGCACACTTCATCAACAATACAGGCGGAGAGGCATTTTATGCCGGGGGCTCATCGGTGGAAAAAAAAGACAAGTTTATGAGCAGCGCGGAATTCAGGTTTCAAATCCGATTAACCGGATAACTCTGGAGTTTTATTTGAAAAAACGGTACATCCTGTTTCGCGAAGTGTTCTGGGGAGGGGGGGGAAAAACAAACAAACAAAACAAAACAAAACAAAACAAAAAAACCCACCTCCTCACCTCTGCTCTCAACAGTCAGTTGTTTTTACTATCTTCAAAACACTTCCCTTGCCTTATTTATTAAGGAATGGATACCAGACTTAGACAGAAATATGCGCGGTGTTTGGGAATTATCAGGTGGAAACGATAACTCAATTTCGTCCCAAACTGGATATACTGTCTTTTAAAATAAAACACCAGCATGCAGACTTGCGGTACAATCGGCAGGCCTGATCTTGTCTCATAAAAATGTACCACGTTTTTTTTTTCTAAAGATACGAGCAGATTGATAAAGATATTAATTGTATGTACTTTGCAGATATATGACTGCTCTTATACGAAATGGGACTTTGGAGTTGAGTCACATGATTAATTGAGACGGGAAGATGTAGGGGGTAGATAGAAAATGCAAAGACAAGGTCACTGAAAGAAATGAGAGAGAGAGAGAAAGAGAGAGAGAGAGAGAGAGAGAGAGAGACAGACAGACAGAGACAGAGACAAAGAAAGAGAGAGAGAGGGGGGCGAAATGGAAAGAGATAGGGGAGAGAAGAGAGAGGGGACAGACTTACAGAAAAAAGGAAAAAGAACTTTAGGAGAAAGAGAGGGAGAGAGAGAGAGAGAGAGAGAGAGAGAGAGAGAGAGAGAGAGAGAGAGAG